CACCCACAAATAAAGTATTTCTGCCATACATCAAAGGGGTCACGGACCGCATGGGGAAACTTTTGAAAAAACAACCTACAAACAGTATTCAAGCCCACCACAAAAATACAACAAATGTTATGGGCTATCAGCAACAAACATGTGAACTGAAGGTTAGAAAAGGAACATAAGCAAATAATTGCTTATTATTATTAATAATAATGATAATGATAATAATGATAATGATAATAATTTAACTTATATGCCATCCACACTACCCAAAGGTCTCTGGACGGCTTACAAAAATCTCCTCGCCAGACCTCTTTAAGAGCAATAGCTTTATATTCATCCTCTATCAACAATTTATATGTGCACTTCTTATCTCTTTACTTTTATTATCTTCCATCTTCTCCCCTTTTTTGCAACAATCTATTCAAACGTTGCCATCACTCTGCCCTCTCCTTCCTTTTTTTCTCCATTAATTAGTCCTGTTTCTACATACCCCATCCTAGACCATTAATTTAATCCCCACTATTGTATCCCTAAACATCAGTGGGTATCAGAACATAAGGCAACATAACGTATGACACTTTATACTATCTACTCAGTATATACAGCATATACAGAAAGAGAATATCTCCCACCTCTAATCATGTAACACAGTCCTCACCCACTGTATGAAATTGTTGAACAAAGGTAATGCTTCCAAGTTGCTTACACTTCAATTACTTTATATACTCAATTATAAGCCTAGTTTTTCAGCACAGTTTTTGCTGAAAAAGCACCCTCTTGGCTTATACTTGAGTCAGTGTCAAAATTACATGTTCTCCCCTGCAGTGCGGGTGTTCTCTGGTCTCTCCTGCTCATCTACGGGCACCTGCAGCCTCTGTGGGTGGTCCGATGACCCGGGTTAAGTACACTGCATTTCCGCTTCCAGGACACTCCCATCCTCCTCCTCCTGCATATTCTATGTACCCACCTTCCTCCTCCCACCTTCCTCCTCCATCCTCAGTCTCCCTTCATCTTGTTACGCAGCAGTAGAGCAGTAGATAAGCACAGCATCCGGTATGAGTCCTCTCTCCGCAGGCAGTGAAGTGTATCTCACAGTTCAGAAGGGCAGTATCTTCAAAAACATTTAACCTATTGATGCCTCGATTAATGTAATTTTATTGGTATCTATTTTTATTTTTGAAATTTACCAGTAGCTGCTGCATTTTCCCCCCTCGGCTTATACTCGAGTCAATAAGTTTTCCCAGTTTTTTGTGGTAAAATTGGTTGCCTCAGCTTATATTCGGGTCGGCTTATACTCAATATATTATTACTCATATACGGTACATTGAAGTGACTACTGGGATAGGACAGGAGGAAGAGATTTCTTGCCAACCGCATCCACTTCATGGTGGATATGAAACAAAAACTGAGAAGGAGGTGAATAAATAATCTGTCATCTTAGCATGTAGAGACTCTTAGGGAAGTTATACAGTGAGAAAACCTCCTCTCAAAAAATCAGTTTTAGCACAATATTTTTATTTTGGCACCTAAAAGATCAGAAAATAATCCACAGATTTTTTTTTTCAGAACCTTTTATCAAACAAGATGGGAGCCAAAGTAAAGAGTGAAGAAGGAATAAAGTAGCAGCTGCTTTAGCCATAAGTCAGCATCAGATTACAGTTTGAAGACAGAAAATGTAAGGGACTTGCATGTACTCTGAGGAAGAGTTCTGAAGCTCTCAAAAGCATTCACCAAGGCCAAAATCCTGTTTACACATGTGTAAGTTAAATTACATAACTCACTGTGATGAGCTGCTGTTTATGAACAATGCACTAGTTGCATTACAAGGTATGTACCTCATTGCATAATAGCCATGCACCTTGGAGTTTGATTGATGGTGCCTCAGTAGGTAACAGCAATTCACTGTGATGACTTACACAAATTACCTTACACAACCATAGATCACTCGTGACTTTTGAGTTCGCCAACTAAAGATACCATACTACAGGTGATTTCAGCACTTTTTGAGACTTTTTAAAAACAACAGGGCAATATTATTTTTGCAAAAAGATATACACATCCAGCTATAAACGTTTATATATAACATTAAAGTCTGTAGATATTCTTCTCTGCAGTACTTCAGCAATTTTGGTAGAAAATTTTGTCTAAATGATCTGAAAATAACATAGGAACCCAAACATATCTTACAGAGCAATCTATTTTATGTAGGCAATTGCACTCATAAATAATGAATGACTGTTCTGATCTAAACATGTAATTTAAATGAATTAATTATGTATATTCAAGGATGAACTCAATTTTTAGCATGGCACAGTACTTAAGTGCTCATGTCTCAATTCATAAAAAATTAATTTCCCACATTACTTAGCACAATACTTGGAGAGAAATTTGTGTTCATGATATGCAAATAAATTGCAACATTAATAAAGCATTTATTTCAAAATGTGTAAACACACTAAATAGAATGGGTAGAACCAGGTACGAAACAGGTAATTAATATCACAAATACATTAGTTGTTTTCCACATTTCTGGTATCCAACTCTGTAACAAGCTGCTGATGTTTTGCTGAATATATGACAGCATCTACCTCACATGGTGATAATAAGAGTAGGACTAGGAAATCACATTTAAAGATTTTGTAGTCTATTGAAACTCTTGAAAATTATCACATCCATGGTAACTCAATGTTCCTCAGAAATCTGGGATATTCCGTAATTAATCTTAAAGACAGGTATTATTATGGCTTCGGACCAAGCAATGGGAAATTTACCTGAGTTATTGATATGGGTAAACAAGTTTGCCAACAGAAGTGCCCATCAATCCATATTAGCCTTTAGCATTTCAGGGAGAATGGCATCTGTTCCTGGGGCCTTGCCTGATTTC